CATGCAAAGTTCTTTCATTCACAGTATTTTAACCTTTCCCCTATTATGAAAATTTAAAAAGTACATCTACAGAAATTTAACTGTATTATATTTGCATAACTGTACTCATGTCAGTCTAATTCACTTCAGGGAACCCCTTCTATAGAAGTTAGTGGTAGTGAATCAGGACCCATTTTTTTTAGTTATTTATTTTATAACAAAGAAACATTTATCTGGACAGCATCCATGTGACAAGAGATGGGCAAAATTGCATTGTGCCATTCAGGCTAACAGGCAAGTAACAATTGTTACAGGCACAGGAGCAAACTCAGGGCTGAGGACCCTTTGCCCACCCCCATAAAATATTTGAGGGGGCTGCTCATCCCCCGAAGTTGATGAGAATTGCCATTCAAATGGTGCGTGTGTGCCGCACCATGTGAACAGTTATGCAGGGTGGGGCTTACTTGCCCCTCCGATTTTATTCAAGTTGGCAGCCCTGGTTACAGGTAAGGCTCTCCCTCACATCAGTAGGTTCGCAAAATAGCTTGAAGATACAGGAGTCTGCTTCACTTTTTCTTATACTGAATGTGACCAATATTGAACCATTGTCTATTCCTATGTTTATTTGCTTATTTCAGCAGAGTCTCAGAGGTTATCCCAAAGAGTGAGTTATACTACGCTTCGTGAAACAAAGCTTCAATGCCATAATTTGTTCTAGGTAAAGGTAAAGGAACCCCTGACAGTTAAGTCCAGTCGCGGACGACTCTGGGGTTGCAGCGCTCATCTCGCTTTATTGGCCAAGGGAGCCGGCGTACAGCATGTGGCGAGCATGACTAAGCTGCTTTTGGCGAACCAGAGCAGTGCACAGAAATACTGTTTATCTTCCTGCCGGAGTGATACCTATTTATCTACTTGCACTTTGATGTGCTTTCGAACTGCTAGGTGGGCAGGAGCTGGGACTGAGCAATGGGAGCGCACCCCATCACAGGGATTTGAACCACCAACTTTCCAATCGGCAAGCCCTAGGTTCAGTGGTTTAGACCACAGCGCCACCAATGTTGTATTTTCAGTTGCTGTAACCTGCCTTGGAACCTTAAGGTGCAGTATAGGTAAGAAATTAAAGTACAGTCATACCTCGGGTTACAGCAGCTTCAGGTTGCATTTTTTTGGGTTGCGGACCGCCGAATCCTGGAAGTACTGGAACGGGTTACTTCCGGGTTTTGGCAGTCGCGCATGCACAGAAGCGCTAAATCACGCTTTGTGCATGCGCAGAAGCGCCGAATCACAACCTGCGCATGCGCAGACATGGGTTGCGAATGTGCATTCCGCATGGATCACGTTTGCAACCCGAGCGTCCACTGTAACAACAAGAACAACATTTTGACACTGATTTACCTCTAATACTGCTAGACGAGAGCATGCAAATGTATTAACCCTTTACCATCCATACTAAATTGATTTTGAGGTGTTCCTGGTGCCATATAAGAATACTATTTACAAACATAGCAGTTAAAAATATGTTTTACTTACGCTGACAAAGAGGAATATCATTAGTCCACCCTACTTTTCGGCCAAATACGACACACTTTCTGCTGGAAGTACTACCAATTAACCTGTGCCTGTATCAAGAAAGAAGTAGCTGTGGGTTGTCTTGTTCTGCCTCGTGAGATGCATAGAACTGATGTGCTTATAATGTGAACGTTCTTCTTACTGACTTTCCACAAACAAATGAAATGCTTTTTGAAAGACAGGGAAGCACATTTCTTGTCAGCCAGGATTGTGCAGCTATCTCAACATATCTTACAATATTCATTTAATTAATATGTTCACCCCTCTTTCAATTGTTCTTGGTGTCGAGTGTCCCAGTTAACTAATATCCATTGAGCAAGCAATCCAGTACACTTCCTGGGGTAATATGGATTTATAATGCAACATACCTAATTTATTTTATTTGTATGTTAAGAAATATGATACATTGTCCTCTGAAAGGAATGACTGAAAATGGTTACATGCCAACACTGATAAAAGCTAGTGGGGCTGGGCCAGGGGGGTGATCAATGCCTCATAACAAGAGGCGGTGGTTCCTGCCTGGAGGAGGCAGTGGTAAAACCACTCCTTAAGAAACCCTCCCTGGACTCAGAAATCTTTGACTACCGGCCAGCTGCCTTGCTCCCCTTCATGAGCAAGGTTCTTGTCAAGGTTCTGGTGGTTGTGGACCAGACCCAGGTGCCTTTGGAGGAAACTGATTTTCTAGATCCATTTCAGTTGGGGTTTCGGCCTAGTTTTGGCACAGAAACTCTTTTGGTTGCCCTGCATGATGACCTCTGTTGGGAGAGAGACAGGGGAAATGTTTCCTTGTTAATTCTCCTCAACCTCTCAGCAGCTTTTGATACCATTGACCATAGCATCCTTCTGGAGTAGCTGTCTGAGTTGGGGATAGGTGGCACTGCTTTGTGGTGGTCCTGGACATTACATTCATCATCTGAGGCCCTCCTTTGTGTACCTCCTTCACATGAAGTCCAGAGGATGGCTATATGAGAATGGGCCTTTTCTATAGTCGCTCCCCGTTTGTGGAATGCTCTCCCCAGGGAGATTCGCCTGGCACCTTCATTATATATTTTTAGGTGTCAGGTGAAAACGTTCCTCTTCAACAAGGCCTTTGGCTGATAAGGAGGGCTATTGTTTTGGCTTAATTATTTTATCTTGTATTTTATTCTGACATCTTTTGATGAAGAGCGGTATGAAAAATTAATAAATAATCTTTTTGCACATGGAAGCATGTGCAAAGACTTCTGCTTGTACAATGCGACTTTCTCTCCCTTCCTGTGTGTCTCCTGAAATTGCCCCCAGAACAGTGGGGGGAGAGCATGGGGGGGATTGATCTGCCTGGCAAACTGAAATGCTTCACAGTAGGAACGTTCCTGTGTGCTCAGATTCTTAAAAACAAAAATATCACCACACCCAGTACATAAGAGCTCTGCTGGACCAAACCAAAGAGCCATCATTCACCTATTACAGTGGCCAACCATATGCCTAAGGAGGACATGAATGCAAAGTACTTCATTCCTTTCTGAACAAACAGGCCTAGGGTTAAGTGTAGAAAATCGTTAGTCTCTAGGGTTACAAGCTCTCTCCTTTTCTATGTGTTCGGTGCCTTTAAAAACTGCATAGTGAACCAACAGAAATAAGTCAAATGAGATTTTCCTGATGGGAGAGAAAAGTGAGAGGAAAAGCTTTACCAGATTCTTTCTGCTTATGCAACTAGGGGAGATAGAGCAGCCCTAGTGGGAAGTCAGGCCAGAGGGAGCAGAGGAATTCTCCCTTCTTGGCTTTTCTGATGCTTACCCTTCATTGCAGGTGTAATTTACAGTGGAACCGAATAAAATATCTTGGGGCACAATCAACTTCCCATTATCTGGTTCCCCTGGATTTCCACAAGATTGTCCTAGCAGGAAGAAAGAGACAAAGTGTGCCTTAAAGTACAATGCTGATCTAAAGTTTCCATCTGCTTTTCGTTTTAAATTAATAAATTCTCAAGGGCAGAACTGCACACCTCAATACATCTCTTGTATTCAAACCATTGAAATGATTCAGATTGGTACACAGCATATTCTCACAAGTATTTCAAAGAATGTTATGACACTCACGTTTACAGCGCTCCAGAACTTTGGACCACTCCTGGCTTTGAAGGCACTTAATAGAGTACCTCAGTCCGGTATAGCCTGGACGGCACATATATTTCACAATCGAGCCAACAGGAAATAAATTCTTTTGCTTATACTCGTCAGTTAGCTCAGCAAAGTTTAACCTAGGTGGAGGGCCACAGCCACCTAATGATAAAAAAAGAGGGGGAAATCAAGGAAATGTGAAGCTCTGCCCAGTGCAATTTTGTGTTTTGAACCACCATATCATTTCCTCCACCTGTAACATGGAAATGACCATTCCTTATCATCAGAAGTAACCACTGGGGCAGTAGCTGCACAGAACTGGTGGGAGTCTGATTCCTTGTGGGATATGCCACAAGTTAAATGTATTAGAATGTTAATGCATTAGGCTTTCTGTATTTATCTTCTAGCTGTTCTGGAATAATTAATTGCCATGGGCCTTTTTCAGGCGGCAATTGCCCCAGGCCTCACACATGGTGGGACCATGTCAGCATTGGTATTGCTGTGGTGCTGACAACTTTTAGAAACAACAGACAGCAAGGGAACTGCCATCTCCACTCACTGCCTCTCTCACCATTTGGGCTGTGCTCCCCCCTCCCCCCACCAGAGGCCACTGGTGAGGAACTGTGAGGGAGAGCAATAGGATAACCTCTGGCATTGATGTTATCAACAGGATACCTGTGGGCCTACCTGACATGACGGGAAAGACAACAACCCAGCAAATTACAGCTAGGCAAAGACAAAGGCCTTACACCCTGAAAAGTCAACAACTTTGCACTGCATTCCAGTCTCTTCTGGGCAGGTTGGGCCACCAGGCTATTTCTCAGGCCTGTTTTACCTGTAGGCAGCTCATTTCCAGGAAACTCAGAGGAGAGGAGATAGGGAATTACTCTAATTGGATGCTGCCAGCAAAGATCAAAGAGAGACCAATTAGGACTCTTCCTCCTCTTCTCTCTGGGGAGAGTTCTAGCTGGAAAAAGCCTGTAAAGAAAAGTTATAAACTGATAGCTGCTAGCATGCAGGCATGTGGACTTAGAGAGACTAGGAGACAATAAATTAGCAGCAATGTCTACATCATCACCAAGGAAGAAAGGTACGTAATGTGGCTGGGGGGAAAGGACAATAGAGGATTCAGGCCTGTGGCTGGGAGAGGAAGTAGAGCAGTCAGGGCCTGGGACATATTAGCATAAATATGTATATGTGTGCACTATAATTTTATTTAAAGATGATCTGAGGAAATTAATTGGATGTTCTACTTAAGATGGGACATGGGAGCAACAATTGAAGTGAATTATATGTGTGTGTGTGTGTGTGTGTGTGTGTGTGTATGAATTTTAGAAACGAAATCTTCATACACTGCTTCTGATGTCATTCATTCTCTCTCTCTCTCTCTCTCTCTCTCTCTCTCTCTCACACACACACACACACACAGAGAGAGAGAGAGAGAGAGAGAGATAAGGATAATGTTAATACATTTTTAAAATATGCATGGTTGGCTAAGGGAATGGGGACAAATGCTACATCAAGAAAGGCCCCTCAAATGAACTTTCTGCCTCCAGGCTTTTTATAATCACATCAGAAATGGTTACCTTTGTTTCATGCTTCAAAAGTTTTGGATCCATATGGAGGTTTCAAAGAGCATGTGGCAACAGTTCAGTGGGAGACCAAAATGCCCCATGGACCTAGCATGGGGACTTTCCAAACGATCAAACTGATCCACACAATAGGTTTCTAGAAGTTGCAATTGGCAATTAGGGATTGTCAAAAACCACACGTTTCTGGAAATTTCAACTCTCCTGTGGATGTGCTGCCAGGCAAATTTAGTTTTTGACAATCACTGCGTTGGAACTCAGTAATTTCATTTCACCAAATGGTGAAGAGAGTTCTTACTAATCTGTATAGTATAGTATAGTACCATTATTTATATTAATGGACTTATCGCTTGCATCTTTGGCCTTAGTGGCCAATGGCTATCATACCACACACACTTACCTGGGATTAAGTTTCATGGAATACTGTGGAGCTTGCTTTTGAGTAAAGTAAACTTGCATATGAATCTAAAGCATTGTGGAAAGTTGGAATGACAGCAAAGAGGCAAAATGTTGATCAAAAAGACTGCTAATAGAAAGATAAATAATTATTTCCCCTAATTGTAGATTTTTGTAAAAAAAAAACCAGCTACAACAAACTATTCAACAGACTGTTATACAAATTTTAAGGTGCATACACAGAGCAGGTACACGCTCCACAGAAAACCAATCCTTCGTCCTTCAAAAATTAGGGAACATTTCCCCTCCAAATAGACATTTTATTTGAGTTCACTGAGCAATCCCAAAGCCATCTTTACTCTCTTAATGACCCCAAGTATCATTATTTTTTGCTGCAGAAGGAAGCATGTTGGAAACACCTTTCCCAATAGATTGCCTGAGTTATTTTCACTTGCAAGTCCTTCAAATCCTATAGAGGTTTTCAACCTTTTTGGGTCCACGGCTCCCTTGACCAACTACATTCTTTCTGCAGCACCCCTGTGGTGCTCAGGAGCCAAGTTATGTCACCCCTTGCCTGCAGAGCTGGCAGCCCCTTACTGCTTTTTGAACACCCTCCCTTGTGGAGCATTCCCTCAGCGTCCTCTCCTCCCCCCAAAAGTCCTCCGGGCAGCCACCGCTGCCACCACTGAGCTGCCCACCCTGCCCCAAAGAGAGGTGCCTCCTCACACTGCCCCACAGGGGCCTGGGACGCACCCCCTGCCCAGCCCCAGAGGCACCATTCAGAGGAGGAAGGGAAGGTAAGAGGGACAGAGGCCAGTGTTGTCCACAGCACCCCTGAACATCATTCAAGGCACCCCAGGGTGCCACGGCATGCTGGTTGAAAACCACTGCTGTAAATAGATAAACATATTTGTATGATTGGACCACTGCTCTACAAAACCAGTCTGGCAAGTATCTGTTAAAAACAGAGCAGACCTGTCAGATTCAGATTCAGATTTAGATTTATTACGGCCATTGGCCCATATCAAAAACAATACATCAGAATTTATCCATAAACAATACAATTTAAACAGTTCCAAGTTAAAACACCCTTATAAAACCAATTTTACTTTAGTTAAGTAAACACTATACACAATAAGCTCCTCTATGTAAACCGCAATTCCGATCCATCAGATTTTGGGGGTATACGTCTTAGTTCTGGCACTTATTGATGGTTCTTAAGTTTAGCTAAGCTGTCAGAAACATACAGTGATCCATTTCTCCTCTTTTGAAATAAAACATTAATCAGGTATCTAGCGATTGCAAGGGATCTACTTGTATCTTCGTCGTTTAATAAGTATATTATTTGGGCTTCCTGAGGACTGTCAGCAATTCTCGATAAATATGGGGCCAGAAACTTGGACCGTGAAGCCGAATGTAATGGACAACAGAAGATTATATGATATAACGATTCTATAGATCCGCTTTTACAGTCACAGAGGAGTGAGATCTGTCCGTTGGAGAGTCTGTTACCCAACACGTTTGATGGGAAAACATTGAATCTAGCCATTATAAAGGCATACCTGTGCGTCACCACAGATAAGGTAGTTAAGTAAGATGGAAGTTTCGTTGGTGGAGTTAAGCCAAGGTTTATCGGCGAACAGGTGCCTCCACCTGTCGCAATATTAAATTGTAAATCCATCTCCTCTAATTTGTGAGTTATAATTCTTTTGGCCGAGTTAAATCCAATTTTAATAGTTCGGATGGAGATAGTCCTAGGGACACAAGTTTCCCATGTATTATTTTTGCCCAGGGGCTAGGGAAGTCATCTCTCCAGAGGCATTGTATCAGGTGGAGATTTGGAAGTTTATGCCATAAAGCCAACCAGTAACAGAGGATGCATTTCCATAATGTGGTTTCTAGAGATGTAACATTTAGTTCCAGTCGTATAGCAGTATTGCTTACACACCTGGGTAATTTTAACAACCTTCTTAAAAGCTGGTTTTGGATTACCTCCAACTGGGTTAGATTAGCAAAGGACCCCCATAATGGGACTGCATATGCTATTGTTGCAATCACCTTTGCCTTGAAAACTTTTAACACTGATGGAATATGGAAAGCCCCATCTGAAAAGAAAACGCAATAGCGCATAGGAAAGGGCTTTAGCTCTGTTTAATACATATGCAACATGGACCTTCCAGCCCATGTTGTGTTGGAGGAAGACTCCCAAGTACTGAAATTTAAAGACTTGGTCAATAGCTTTTCCGTCTATTCTCCAATTATAGGTTTTTCGACTCTTGGTGAAAATTAGAACTTTGGACTTAACATGGTTAATTGTAAGAAAATTTGATTTACAGTAAACATCGAAAATTTTTAATGCCCTCCTAAGGCCGACTCTTGAAAAGGATAGGATCACTGCGTCGTCTGCGTAGAGTAGAAGGGGGCAACGATATTGGGCAAGACGGGGGGCGTGGATCGTTTCTTGAGCCTCTATCAGAGGCGCCCTCATATCACTTATAAATAGATTGAAAAGGGTCGGAGCAAGGATACATCCTTGGCGAACACCTCTATTGATAGTTACTGAGTTTGAGAGGTCGCCTGCCGGAGAGATTCTCACCCTAGCGGCCGATCCGTCATGCAGTTTAGTTATTAGCCACAAAAGTCTTTTGTCTATTCCCCATCGGGCTAGTTTTCCCCAAAGCAATCCTCTGGGGATGCTGTCAAAAGCGGCCTTTAAATCAATAAAGGCCGCACAAAGTTGGCCTCTATTTGGGGAGGAGTATTTCCGGGCAAGGTGGTATAAAACTAAGATCTGATCAACCGCTGACTGATTCGGTCTAAAACCAGCCTGTTCAGGCCCAATCAGGTTGTTCTCTTCGGCCCACTTAGTAAGCTTAGTTAACAAGAACCGTGCATATATTTTCCCGATTAATGACAATAAACTGATATTCCTGTAATTTCCCGGGTCATCTGTCGAGCCTTTTTAATGAATTGGAACAATAATCGCATCCTTCCATATTCTTGGTACCTTCCCACTGTTGTTTACGGCATCAAAGGTAGCGGCCAAGATTTTCGCCCACCAGTCAGCATGAAGCTTTATAGCTTCTGCCGGGACTAGATCAGGACCGGGGCTTTTCCGATTTTAAGATTAGAAATAAGTCCGTGGATTTCTTCCGGGTCAGTGGGTGGCCAAAGAGGGAGCTGCTCATAGACTCCATCGATTGTATTAATATTAAGGTCTGGTAAGGCAAAATAATTCCTTAGAAAGGATTCCCAAATTGGGGCAGGAATAACTGTTAAGGGGTATCTTTTAGATTTTCTGTTAACCAACAGCCAGAATTTTCGGGAATTACGAGTACTTGAGGCAGCTATAAGTGCTTGCCAGCGGTTCAATTGCCATTCCTGTTTGGCCTTTTTCTGCACATATTTGTAAGCTGATTTTGCCTGATAGTACTCCTTGGGAAGCGTAATCGCCCCTGAGGATTTGTAATCATTATAAATAGCACAAAGATGTTGTTTGGCTTGTTTGCAATTACGGTTAAACCACGGTGCACCTGTCTTGGGGTGGGCCCAATTTGCCTGGTGGGTTGGGACAGAAAAGAATGACGTGAGGTCATTCAACAGATTGGCAAATAGATTAATAGTTTGGTCGTGATCATATGAAGTTATGCCAAGGGCTGAATAGGTTTGTATGATCTCCTGCTGAAAAAATTCAGAATATTTTTGAGCCTGCGTTACAGACCACTTTATACCCTTCACTCGTAATGCCGTATTAATACCCTCTACCTGGTTTTCTGCATTAGTATCTAATTGAGTTGGATGACCGTGCTCGTCCCCGTGCCAGTCTAGGTCAAACGTAGCAGCAAGTGGAAGGTGATCACTATAGTGAATATTGCCAATCTTAAAAGAGAGAGCTTTCGAAATCAGGTCACTCGAGGCTAAAAGGTAATCTAGCACACTGTTTGATTTTATGCCTAGGTGGGTATACTCCCCCGGTATATCAGGAGGGCAGCAGCCATTCAGGGGTTCTAAGTTTAAGCGAATAGCCATCTGGTAAAGAAGTACTCCAGCCTCGTTTACTTTGGAGTCTTTTGAGGCTCTCCCTAAGGCATGTCTCAAATCATAATTGTCAAGGCATGGAGCAGTCCACCATTTAGCTTTAGTTAAATCAGCCCAATTTGCTGCTATACGTGCGTTGAAGTCACCACCAATTAAGGATTGGCTATTGGCATATTTGACTCGGCATGATACTAAATGATCTTCTAATATTTCCCATCTATCATGCAGTTCAAGGGACGAACCTCTGGCGGGAGGTAGACATTAGAGATTAGCAGTGATACTTTTCCCCCGACATCAACCCGGATAAAGCATAAGGGGAGCAGTCAAAACTAGTGAAAATTTGAAATGCAGCTTCAGTGAGATACCAATTACTAGACCACCTTTCGGCCGTCCTCCTTTCTGGGAGGGATAAGCTGGAAGGGATAATAGGTCGAATCCGTTTATGACAATTTCACCCTCCTCCCAAGTTTCTTGCAATAGAATGATATGAAACGAGTTGATATACGACTGGAATTCTGGGTCACATTTTTTCCTACGCCAGCCAGCTATGTTCCAACAGAGGATCGATATTGGTGGTTTTCTGGATTGTCCGGCTAACCGTCATTTAAATTCTTGTGGGGGGTTCTTATGCGACCAGGACGCTCCCTTAAAGAAGTCCGTTATTTTCCTTTGCTGAAAGTTGTCGTCCTGGTGTGGTGAGTCTTTTGCTCTGGTGCACACCGGTTGTGGGGAGTCTTTTGCTCTAATGCGAGCCGGTTGTGGCACGATCGACTCACGAGGGCCAGAATTTTTGGGAGGCAGAAGAGAGTTAGCATCCTGGTGGGTAGGGATAATATTTGGCATTTTTAGCTGTCGGGCCCAACTAGGCTCTGAAGAGGCTCCTGCCAAGTCCGCTGGAGCCGTCCTCTTTGGGGATCTAACCGATACACTTGTGATCCTTTGATTTATATGTCCTGCTGGGTCTTCAATCCACTCTGTGGTGACTCTCGACACTGTAGTGTCTTCCTCACGTAATTGTTGGATTTTTGGTGGGCAAGAGTGCGCTGGAGAAGCCTGACTTGGAATGGCCACTGCCATCTCCAGGTCGTGGATGGTCTTCGATGTATGTTGATTCCAAGTCCGGCATGGAGGAATGAAGGGACAACGATTTATCCAGGGGGGTGTTATCCTGAGTTCCATTCTTTGATCGGTTAATCACGGAGGGGACAGATAAGTCTATTAGAAGCAGGGATGAGTTACCAACGTGAAGGGGAGGAGAAGAGTCTGCCTCCAGCAGTGAGACCTTCCCATCCAATGCAGAAGGCACCTTATATGCTGGGTATTGGGGAATTGCTGTTTCCACCTCCATGGGGTATGGCACCGCTAAATTAGAGTGGGTATTATTCGTAGAAACTCCATTGCAGGCAATACTTAGGAGCTGAAGTTTAAGTAAGTCTAGCCTATTTATAATTTCTTGTTGTTCCATCGCAGGTAACTCACCAAAGGAGGCGATAAGCTCTCTTTCCTCCTGGGGTGTCAGAGAGTTATTGGCACAATCGTAGTGTTTAGTTGTAGGAGTGGAGGCATTTTGGGACTGGCCCAGACATGGGGTGTACAGCTCAGCCCTCTTTTGTGGTTCAGGATGGGAGGGTTGTACCGTCTCCTTGATTAATCCCTCCGATAGGAGGGGTCTAATTATGGAATCCATGAAGACTCTCGTTGGAAAAATGCCAAGACTATTCAAAAACACTTTTTGCTTAATAATAAGAGAGGGGATTTTTGCAGAGTGGAAAGCCAGCATCATTCTCTGATATCTGTTCTGTTGGATTAAGGGAAGCACAGCACAAAGATCTATTTGTGATGTCTCAAGTTTTAGAAGCCATCTGAGGTGCTCTTTAGTCCCATGTAGCGTTGCCCAACTTGGGTCCCTTTCCCGGAAGGTTAGGGAAATCTTCCTTGGCTGTAGAGTCAGGGATTGGCGATTCAGTGAGGGGTTGAGATTATATTTGCAGTTCTTCATACGATCAGTGTTTGGTGGCGCTTTCTGCCGGCACAATGGAACATCTACTGCCCCATCTTGGGCTGTCTGAACCGGCTGGTCATCCAGTTTTTGCTGAAGGCTGTGCAGCTGAGAGGATAGGCCATCAATTCTCTTAAATATACAGTTTAGAGTTCTAATTATTAGATGGAGTTGCTCACAACCTGTGCAGTCCGCAGATTCGGCCACCAACACCTCCTTCGGATAGGGACCATCCCCATTTGTGTTACCATTGGCTTTTCCAATTTGTAGCGTCTCAGGGGCCTCATCTTTTGATGTTGTTTCAAGGGCCGTTAGAGGATCGAAACGATTTTGAATTGCTATTGAGTAGATACATTCCTCGGGGCCTCTCCCACCTTTAGGTAAACCCTTCCTTGATTGCTTAGGCCTCGGAGAGGATAATGCCTCGTCAGGGTCTCTTGGGCGTTTTCCATGGCCCATAAATCAATTTTGCAGGGGAACCGTCGTGAGCACTGTGCTGGGGAGCTCCTTAAATCCTTTAGTCTTCCTCACAGGAATACTACCACTTCCAGGAGAGTGGTGCTGTAAAATTACTCACAGTAAGGCAGCCAGTTCAAGCCTCTTCCTTCCCCTCTTCCTTGTTCCTAGGATTTTGAAACAGCCCGGTTCCAGCAGTCGGGCAAACTTCACTTCGCAATATGCAGTAAGCTAAAAGCTCAAAGGAAATAGCTGGTTGACAGGGCAGAGGATTTATGCCCAGGAAAACTTTTCACTTATCTCTCCCAGTTAGGGAGGCGGCGGCAGCCGTGGCGGCGAATCCGGGGGGGTCGGAACAACCCAGATAAAACAAAATAACACAAGTGGAGCGATATTAAAAGACAGCCAGCACAGCCAGCAGATCATTAAAACTCTCGGATAAAAACAAAGGAGGATAAAACCGCTTAAAACCACGTAAAACTTTGATGAGGGTAAACGAAATTACTTGGTAACTACCTTCGTCGCCATGTTGGAGGAGGAGTCC